ACTAATCGACTAGTCGTATAATATATTTAAATAGTGATGGGAATCTATTGAGTCAACCAATCCCATTCTGAATGTTGGTTGGCTATTAGTATTAATGTTTTCTATGAACATGACTTCGGAATATTTAGGATACTTATTAAATCGAGACCGTAGTTTATAATCTGTCTTGGATCATTTCAAATGATTATTATTCTTACTTTTAGCTGATTTTTATAAAATTTATGATTTTAGTCGACTTAGTCGACTAACATTTAGTCATAAAAATTAGCTGATCATACGAACTTCTTCTATCGTTAATAATTCTGGTCAATTTTGCAGATCATCTAGAGCAAAACAACTTTAATTGTGATCAAATGATTTGCAATTTTGACCAGAATTAAACGATGGGTTCTATCGATCAGGTGATACTTTCGGTTGATCTGGAACGATCAAATTTACATTTTCCGATTGTCCAATTCAAGCCTCATTATAAAGCTAACCAGAATTATACTAGTTGGCCTAAATTATAAAAATCACACTGCACAGCTTGCGCAGTGGCCCATCTCTAACTATGTCACTTTACATTAAAATATTACAAAATATAGAGAATATTATAGTATGAAATATTTATTCCTAAAACGAATAATTGTTTCAACCCTTAAAGCCCACTAATTAACATATTTCACTTATTACCTACAGTACCATTTCCTCAACAAATCCCTTTCACTGCCAAAACCCGAAAAGAGTTTTATTTCTTTGCTTTGCCACCACGATTACAACCCACACATGCTTCCAGGGATACTTTACGAAATAGCATAGAAAAGCGCTTATAAGCCCATCACAATGTACGTAATATACTGATGATTTTATAGTAGTCGTTGTTTGCACAACCATTCGTTTCTAAATCCCACTCAGCTGCTGGTTTTTTATTCCACTTTTCTGCCAGGTCTTCATGCAACATTTCGAAAAACCAACACATAATTTCATTAAAATCAGTTACATAATGAGGTTCAAATTTCCAATCTTTGAAGTCAGTGGTTTTTGCATCACCCCATTTTTTTATAGTCGCGTTATAATGCATTTGTGTTACATCCAAACGGTTATGGCATGCTTCCGCTCGCAATTCATTCGTTCTCATATTGCGAGTCCCCTTAAGACCTGCCGGCTGATGGCTAGAATGATGTATTTTGGTTTCACCACTATCATTATCGTGGCCTCTTTCTCCCCAACACAAAGCACCACACCAGAAACATGGAACTGTGCATCCAAGTCTTTTCTTAATCAATTCATCATCAGATAGATTTGGTAGTGATTCTTCTTCAAGTTGAAAATGACCATTCCATTTGACATCAAGCTCTTTCATAATAGCTTCATGAAATAAGTCAAAATTTTCAGCAATTGAATTATCTTTAATATCCAATTGCTGAATTGGTAGTCAATACCGTCAACTTGTGCCATATAATTATTTACAAATTTTTTGATATCTTCATAATTTTTACAATTAAGAATTTCCTGCCGAACACCATCAAATTCTATATTAAAAACTTCTTTATATTTTTGTCCTTTCTCTTTATTGTATATTTATTAACATTATTGTAAAACCACTTTTCAATACTTTCTTGAGGTTTTAAAAAGTGCTGTACTGCATTATCTTTGTCACCATTATGAACTTGTTCAGCAAGTTCAACAAAATATTTAAGTCTAATTGTTTCAGAATTTTTTATCCAAGGGATGCTAAGTACATCATCTCTTCGATCCCGGTATTCTGCATCTACTGCTTTTTGATGAACAGCTCTCGACAAATAAACCCCAGTCAAATGACCTTTAAATATATGTGAATGACCGTATTGAAGACGAAGCTTGATAATTTCTACATATTCATTTTTCCTTTGATCAAGCACGCTAAGTGGTGTATTATCTGATCCCACGTGTATTGAATTTCTACCATCTTCTCTCTAAAATTTAATAACATGTATACGTGAACATTCATTTCAAAGTTAGAATTAAATTTTATATTAAGATTAGTTGAAAGATCATTCAATTTTTTTTCAGTTTTGTCTTTGAGATCACGCACAATTCTAGGATTAAACTTTTTAATATTACGTAACATTTGTTCTACCACAAGATTAATATCTTGTTTAAGTTCCATAAGTTTATCATTAGAAAAGCCTGCCAAACCGACATTACGAATTGCATCAATTTTAGATAATTCTGGAATAATTCTATATTTGTAAATTTTAAAAAAGTTTGTTGATGACCACATAGTTGCATATTCCTCTTTTACTATATGAGTGCGTGAGAATAAAAACCTGGAACTGATTATAATGATTTACTATGATCAGTTACAGGTTTTCATTCTCACGCACTCATATTATCTATCTCTTCATTTATAAAGTCTTCATTTTCTGCTGATACCCTGTCACGTAATAATTTCCATATTTTATTTGCTGCTTCTTCAAGTTTCTTTTCATTAGGCAATTTCTTCCATGCTTTTAAGACCTTTTCTAATACCCTGTCAATAAATATAGAAAATCTATTTCGGATTAAAATACCCTCAAGCATATTTTCAAGCTTTGTGGTTATAAATTCACGGCGAGAAACAATATAATTATTTATTGTTTGATTAGCCTCTTCTTTACACTTCTCGTCATCTTTTTTTTCAAAATATTTATCTAATTTATCTCTTTCTTTATTTACTTTTTTACATTCTTCACAATCTACCTGACTTTTAAACTCTGGAATATTGTTCAAAGTTTTAATCAATTTTTCACATTTAGAATTAATTAAATTAACTGAATTAACGCTTGAATCTTTATTTGAAAGCCATTTATAAACAATAGATCTAATTTTAGTTTCGATAAATTCCTTATGTTTTAAAAATGCCATGTCGATAGTTCCTTTCAGTCTTGCAACTTGTTTCCCAAACTCAATAAAATCATATGTTTCTTCTATTTTTTCGAACGAGGAATTTTCACGTGATGCTGCATCCCAATAACTTTTAATTAGTAAAAACCAATCTGCAAATTTCTTTTTGCTTTGTGAATTTTTGCAATTATCAATTATAGAATTGTAGAATTCAACAACATCCTTGTGATATTGTTTCGATGGTGGAGAATAAGCAGCTATACCATCTTTAAATGGTGCAAATAGTTTGACAAGTTTTTTATTATTCACCTTACTAAGACGTTCAAGATTGCGTGTTCCTATCTTGTTATTTTCTTTTTTGGCTATTTCTAAAACTCCCTGAAGAATTTCTTGAAGTTTCGGTTCTAGATCTATTGACTTTGTCGCATTATTTTCCGTAGCATGTTGCACCATAAGTATGTCAGGTGACATGTCAAGATGCATTAATATCTTAGTGACTATTTGCAAGATTTTAGTCAATTCTCTTGTCGATTCTCCGAGTATATTAATAATTGTTAAATTGCTTATTCGCATTGCAAACTTTGCTAACTTTTGATCCTTCTTTTCTGATTCTGGTTCACCTATATTTTCTGGTGCACAAAGTCCCTCAGTGTCAATCAAGATAAAAGCATCAACACCAAGTTGATTAGATAAGTCTCTTTCCAAAAATAAGAATTGCATAAAAATCCCCTTAGTACAACGTCCAGCTGAAACAGCAAATTTACATCCAAAAAGTGCATTTAGAAGAGTGGATTTTCCAGAAGATTGTAATCCAAGTATACTGATTACAAAAATCCTAAGATTAGAAATTTTTTTATTAATAGAATTACAAACGGCTAAGAACCAAGCTTCAGATATAGTTGCAGAATCACCATCAAGCAACTCGATATTGTGACCACTAATTAACAGCTCTGCATAATATTCCGGTAATT